ATACTCGCAGGTTCGCCGAATTCCTGGAATTTCTGTGACGTCAGAATGTCTAAATTTTCATATAATTTCGGTATTATACATTAATTATAAAATTGAACGGTTTAATTATATTTTAAATATTGCTCTCTAATTTCTGGCTAATAGTTCGATATTAAAATAGTAGTACAATGGTGTTTTAGCGAAAAATACATTTTCTGTCCTTCTCTAATCAACTGCGCACGAATTCTACGAGATTTGAATCTATTCCGAGAGAGTCGAATCTATTCCGATTTACAGCTTTTTAATTGAAGAAAATAATTGTGGTTCCGGCCATGAATAGTTTAATACTGGTTGATTTTATGTATATAAATTGATTTAGCTAATTAATTAATTTAATGTCTGATAATGCCGTAAATAGAAATAGTATCTCTATCCTTTTCTAGGATTAGCGTTGATCTCAAGGATTTCAGGCGAGTATCGCGGCACGTAGGCATATCATAGCGTAACGGAAATTTCTTATACAAAACTATTTATTAGAAAAATAAAATAAAATAATACATTATCTTGTTCTGATCGTTCTAACTTAATGTTCAATTGTTTTTACAGAAAATATTACCTACTCTAAATCAAAATTATGAGATAATTAATTTAAATGATTATATATATATATATTGATTACCGACTGTCGAATTTGATAGATATGGTAATAGATACCTAATGTACTGTCAATAATTGGCAACTATTGTCGATAATTGGGTATTCTAATCGGTGGATAGAAGATTGCCGTGATGATGCCGGTAGAAAAAGAAAGGTTTCCCCAGGGACGTTACACATATACATAATTAACATTATTTGTACACTTATATCGCATTATCTATATAAACTAATATTTCGTTGCGTATCCTTTGGCATTAATTATTGCATGCAAGCGACGGGGCATAGAATGAATTAAATTTTTTATGAAATTTTGTGGAATACTTTGCCACTCTTGCCTTAATTGCTGTTTAACCCTTTGCACTCAAGAGGCGCTCGAGAGGCGACTCTCAGTCACCATTTTATTTAATACAATAATTTGAAACAAGCATTTTCTAACTGATTCTATAATATGACACGTGTGACGTATAAACATAGTGAAACAGACAATAGTGGAAATTATTAGTAGAGAAATAATAACCTCAAGAAAATTCATTTAACTTTTTGAATGAGTTTTAAAATTGCTGTTTGTAAACAGTCAAATTACCTTCGAGTGCAAAGGGTTAAAATCTATATTTTGAAAATTTCTGTTTCTCATTCTAAACTTTAATTCTCCCCAGACATTTTCGATTTTTCAATTCTCCCCAAACATTTTCGATTGGATTCAGGTCTGGCGATTGCGGAGGTGTTTTTAATAATTTTGGTATATTATACAACAACCATAATTGAACTAAATGAGAAGAATGTTTTGGGTCATTGTCTTGTTGGATGTAACAGACTTGTGGCATTTTTAATTTTTCTGCTGATGGTTCAAAATTTTTTTTTAAAATATTCAAATATTGTATTTTGTCCATTTTTCCATCAATGAATTCAACAGTTCCGGTCCCGTTTGACTCTATACACCCCCATAACATCACAGATCCTCCGCCGTGTTTAATGGTTGGACATGTATTCTTTTTATCATATTCGGTATTTGCTTTTCTCCATACGATTTGTTTCCTTCCGTCCCGTCCAAATAAATTCATTTTAGTTTCAACAGAAAATATAATATTTTCCCAAAAACTTTCGTCATAGTTTACAAACGTTTTTGCAAATTCCAAGAGCTTTTTCCTATTTATTTGTGAAATATACGTTTTTTTCTGGCAATTCGGTCATGTGAAATGTACGGTTTTTTTCTGGCAATTCGGCCGTTATACCCTTCTTTTCTTAATGTTCTACGGATTGTTTCTACTGAAATTTTTGTTTTTATGCGTGAAGAAACTTCTGATGTTAAATTTCTAATATTTGTTTGTGGATCTATTTTAATTTGTCGACAAATCGATCTCACATCGGCTGTTGTTAATATTCTTTTTCTTCCTCGCCCAGGCTTATTTCTTACTGTACCTTCATAACGAAATTTGTTTATAATTTTTTGAACTGTCGAATGTGTTCTTCCAACTATTTTTCCTACTTCACGAAAAGATTTACCTTGTAAATATAACTTAACAATAAGATTACGTGTAGAAATATCAGTCTGCAGTCTTTTCTGCTCCATTGCTGTTTTACGGATAATGGATTGTGTTTTGTTATTGTTTATTTAATAAATGAAGGTAGAAAACACATTTCGCGGACATCATTTTCAAATGCACCAACCTTCGTTCAATACAGATCTGTATAACTTAAAAATTTTTATATGTACGCTTAATTTTGTGTCATGAAAACAAGCATATTTTTACATTTTTTTGTTAAATATAAACAAATTACTTATTTTATTTAGAAACTCATTTACGAATTATTTGTTACAATATATGAATAAGATTGTAAATTTTTTCCAAGCATCCATAATTGGGAGCGATTCATCATTTTCCATTTGTTCTAAAATATACCTGAAGGTTCGCTTGATGTACTGTGCCTTAAAGGTCGAAATTATCCCTTGATCTAACGGCTGCAATAAAGAAGTCGTATTCTTGGGTAAAAATACAACTTGCACATTTTCGTGATGTAAATCTTGAGGATGGCCTGGTGCATTATCAAGTAAAAGGAGGGCCTTAAAAGGCAACCCCTTTTTACTTAAATACCTTTTGACGTCTGGGACAAAAAAGTTATGAAACCATTCATTGAAAATTGTTGGAAATTACTAACGTATTTATTAATACAATAGATGAATGATATAAAGATACAATATGAGTGACGATGATGGAGATCGCGTCTTGTGCGGGGAAGATCCAATCGGGGAGTGAGTGTTCGTCACTCCAGTTACCCCCCCACTCTAACGTGCATGCAGTCATACCAACTATGAACTAATGGACGACGACGCTCGTCCCAAGCATACCAACTTCAAAAAGTGTGGCAGTAACCCAGGCCTTCTTATTGGCCATCCAATAAACGGGAAGGTTGTTGATCTTTATTCCTTTAAATGAGCGTGGCGTTTTCGATTTGTTAATAATCAATGGTTTCATTACATGATCGCCTGAAGCGTTGCAGCAGAAAAAAACTGTTATACGACTTTTCGCTGCTTTATGACCACTAGCTGATTTGTGAGCTTTAGCCAAATAGGTTCTTTCTGGCATTTTTTTCCAAAATAACCCGGATTCATCAGCATTGAAGACCTGGTCAGGAATGTAGGAATTAACGGCTATAATTTCAGCAAATTTTGCCGGATATTGTTGCGCTGCATCTGAATCAGCAGATGCTTGTTCACCCTTCAATCTTAGATTATGTAAAGAATGTCTTCGTTTAAATCTTTCAAACCAACCATGGCTTGCAGAAAAAGATACGTTCTTTTCAGCTGAAGAAGTAGATGGTAACTGATTCTTAATTTTTTCATAAATCTTCAAAGCCTTATTTGTAATTGTATTGGTATCAATTGGAATCCGCTTTTGAGTGGTGTCTTCTAGCCATATCATTAATGCATTTCCATTCATCATTTTCCATTTGTTCTAAAATATACCTGAAGGTTCGCTTGATGTACTGTGCCTTAAAGGTCGAAATTATCCCTTGATCTAACGGCTGCAATAAAGAAGTCGTATTCTTAGGTAAAAATACAACTTGCACATTTTCGTGATGTAAATCTTGAGGATGGCCTGGTGCATTATCAATTAAAAGAAGGGCCTTAAAAGGCAACCCCTTTTTACTTAAATACCTTTTGACGTCTGGGACAAAAAAGTTATGAAACCATTCATTGAAAAGTGTGGCAGTAACCCAGGCCTTCTTATTGGCCATCCAATAAACGGGAAGGTTGTTGATCTTTATTCCTTTAAATGAGCGTGGCGTTTTCGATTTGTTAATAACCAATGGTTTCATTACATGATCGCCTGAAGCGTTGCAGCAGAAAAGAACTGTTATACGACTTTTCGCTGCTTTATGACCACTAGCTGATTTGTGAGCTTTAGCCAAATAGGTTCTTTCTGGCATTTTTTTCCAAAATAACCCGGATTCATCAGCATTGAAGACCTGGTCAGGAATGTAGGAATTAACGGCTATAATTTCAGCAAATTTTGCCGGATATTGTTGCGCTGCATCTGAATCAGCAGATGCTTGTTCACCCTTCAATCTTAGATTATGTAAAGAATGTCTTCGTTTAAATCTTTCAAACCAACCATGGCTTGCAGAAAAAGATACGTTCTTTTCAGCTGAAGAAGTAGATGGTAACTGATTCTTAATTTTTTCATAAATCTTCAAAGCCTTATTTGTAATTGTATTGGTATCAATTGGAATCCGCTTCTGAGTGGTGTCTTCTAGCTATATCATTAATGCATTTCCATATTTTCCATTGCAACATCCCTTACGTATGTAGTTGTGCTCATACTCGTAGAAGATCCAGCTGCTACACTTTTTCTAATGGAGTCTTCATTTTTTCTTATTGTCCTTATTGTGGCTTCATTCATAGAATAAAATTTAGCAACATCTATTACTCTTTCTCCATTATGTAGACGATCCAAAATTTTAATTTTGCTTTCTAAAGATATAACTTTTCTTTTCATTTGTTTTTTTGTAATTCCTTTTGGCATGGTAAAACCCCTAAAATTTTAGTAAAATTATAAAAATGCTACAAAAACTAAAATTGTTTTTCACTAACCAGTATATATGAAGTTTTAAAAAATTCCAAATAGAAAAACACAATGATGTACAGCTTTCTGCTGCTAAAAATTTACTGCACTAAATTGTAGGGGACAAAGTTTAAAATAACTTAAAATGTTCTTTACTATTCGGATTTACTACAGGTATTTGATTCGATTTCTTGGACAAGACTCGGAGAAAGACTGGCGAGAGACTCACGAGAAACTGTCGGGGCGAGCCTCCGGTTTGCCTATCTGCCCTCGGCTGGCGCGTCTGAAAAGTTGAATAACGCGATGCCTTTTAGCGCGCCAAGATTTTGGCGCGGGCTCACCACGTTCGTCAACTATCTCGGATCTTCTCGTTCCGGGCCGGTGCAAATTTAAAAACCGTGTAAAAGTGAAATCGTGTAAACCGAGTACCGTGTAAATCGGGGGATAGGTGTATTTCCTTTCGGTTTTCGAAAGCGAGCGACTAGCGTACGCAATCACGTGTTCGTTATCATCTATTTCTTACGTAAGGACTCCTATCCTATATGTCTGAGTCCTCATCAGTACTTTCTTCAGTGGTGGCGGGTAAAATTACTAGCTCTAAAGCTTCTGGCGTTAACTTTTTTATATTGTTCTTTGGTTTTCCTTTTAAACTTGAAATGTATGGGTCCGATGACACTAAGAGCCGCAAAAAAAATCTTCCATCGAGAACATTTTCGTAAAAAGTCTCTCCGAAAGTTTTTTATATATTTATGTGTATGTTCTTGTGCTTCTTCCGACATTTTTCCGATCGGCAACAAAGCGGTACTTATTATTTCCGGGCCGTGAATTAAAATTTTGTGTACTGCAGTAGGCATGTAATACCGCGGGTACAATTTTGCAAATTTTGCTGCTACTTCATGAGCATAGTTTGTAAATTCAGGCAAATTTACTTCGCAGTCACTCGAAATTGCTTGCAATATTGCATAAAAGCTACTGATTAAATCTTCATCAACGCCAGTTATCGATGAAGATGTTTGATAATTTTTAAAAAAACGTCGTGCTGTATTTCCATCATTGGTGTTACCAAATCCAGGTTTCGGGCCGTCTACTATTAGTCCCAATTGTAATTGGAAATCTTTTTGTATTAATTGTTTAGGGTCTTTTACCATTTTTTTTTCTTCGCCGCTACGAGCTTGCCACTTCTTTATTAATAATTTATATGATAAGTGCAGGCAACACTCAGAAAAGCGTATCCACGCATGTAGCGTGGACAATCCGAAACAAAAATGGTCTTTGTTAATATTTTTCTCCAGCATCTTATTAATATCATTAAATTCTTTTGCAAACCATACATATAGCAAACAAAAAGTCGGCAGTATTACTGTCCGAAAATATTTGATTATATGTAGAATGATCGGAACTTTCGTCACAGCCCCATTTGAATAAAAAATGTACACAATCCGGTACGTTTTCATTATTTATAGACTTTTCTGAATATTTAAATAATCTCTCTGTTATATGGTTTGCAAGATTTTGTACATTAACTTCAGTAGAAATATCGCTCACTTTAATTGAGGTTGGATAACATTTTGTTTTTACTTCTCGAATATGATTATATGAAGGACAGATATCGGCATTTCGTCTTTTTGTACCTATTCTCATGGAACTGTAAGTCTCCAACCGTTTGAGTCTCAAGCAGTGCGATCACGTTGTTGAGATTTTGTCGAGAAAATCCAGCACATTTCGAACATTGTGTACAACGGACGGTGTGTTTCCAATTGTCGAAGCGCGCTCAGATTTACTAAAGCAAGTCCATCACACAGTTCCTTTTAATGTAAATAATGCGTTTTACGATAGGTAGTGTTCCGTATCTAGGCAAGTAGGAGCGGGCGATCCCTGAATTCAAAATCTCAACCGTAAAGTTCGCTGTCTCTCGTCCTCCTTGACGCAACGGAAGATCTCTTTCGGTCCGTTCTCGAAGGATTGAGAGACATTGAGACCCCCCCGTAACCGATATAAATTTATTGGTTCCCGTCGTCGTCACGCCTGATAGGCGACAGCTGATTGGGCCGTGACGTCGACACTTACCACGGATTCCCGAATTCAGGTGATCGCCCGACTCTCGCAAATAGAACAAAAACAACCGTGCTCAAAGTAAAACGTTGTAAACCCGAACAGTAAACACGCAGTGCGCGAAAGCGAACTGTCCTTTTTTAGTAAACTTTTTATACTTGTTCTACGTATCGTCCAAGTGTGCGTGTAGTGTGTTAATTTCGTTCTGTGTATTTTGTTTAATAAACTGTGAAAAATTCATTCGAACGGGTTATTCAAAACCCCCCTGTTTCTGTGAGTCCATTTCATCGATTACCGAACAGGTAGAATAATATTATAATAATGCAATAATACATTACAAAATAAAAATTTTTAATTCATTATTATCTTCCGAATAATTTTTATTCACTAGAACTTGAAATATTTATAAATGTACAGTACGCATATGTAATAATACAGACGCATTTTATAAAATAACGAATTACAAATTATATTTTTGTGTTATGAAGATACAATTTAAATGGTGAGTAACACTTATAATTTGTAACATTGAGTCAAAATAATTTTATTCCAAACCTCGACCTTTTTAGTCGAATATACTGGATCCAATCTAATCGACCTTTATAAAGCATTAGACTTTCATCAATCGTTATATCTCGTTCTGGAATATATGTAGGAATGGATCGGAGGGATGGTCGAATTAAAATGACTCGGCTTCTAACAAGTAATGAATTTAATATAAAGAATAAAGAATAATGAGGACAATGAATTTAATACGTCTTTACAGGAACGTGTCCGAAACAGGTCTAATCCTGTCGTCGATTGCCTTTTGGCTATGCACACTTCTTTTGTCACTTTCACGCATTCTTTTGCACACGCACACGTACTCACCCGCAGTCGTTCGTACTCTCTCTCTCTCTCATACACACTTCCACGTATACTCTTACTCTCTTGCACTTTCTCACTCACACGTTCATCTCGCATTCCCTCATATATGTATCTTTTCATGTCTTCGACACATGCTTTTATAAGAGCTTCTGTCAATTTACTTTTTCCCTTGAGTCTTTCTTTTTTCATGTTTCGGAGCCGCATGACCATTCTCCTTTTGACGTGATCGACACACTTTTTATTACCATACATCCAATTTGCTGCCATATGGATTAATATATTCAAAATAGCTTTGAAAGTCTTAGAGTATCCATGTCCGATATATCAGGTCAGTTCAAAAGTCCGTGCGCATTTTTGGGAAATTTTTAAATACTGCAAAAAGTCTGGTTTTGATGCAAAAAAACTTGAAAAACTTCATTTTCAACTTTTTTCCCTTGTAAAAAATTTTGTAAGGCACGAAATAAACGAAAACCACTTGGGACTATATCCGGGGAGTAAACAGTATGTAGTTTAACGTTATTATTGTATTATGAAACAATACTTTCTTCATATTCACATTGGTCACGGACGCTTTTAAATCAATTTTAAGTTCAAATGATTTTCTGGCTTAAAAAATATTGTTATCATAGTTTTCAGAAGAACATTGATTACAAATAAGAACTCAGCATATATGATATACAAATTGCAAATAAAAAAATTTTGTTTGTAATAGGAGAATTAAATGCATTCGAAAAGAATGCACAATAGATGTCGGTTATTGAAAATCGATTATGTTAGTATAATGTAAAAAATAAAATAATATCCGTTTTCATTTTTTTAGCGGATGACATTTTGTGAATACCGTGAATGATGACCTTTAGTGTACATCTTATCTAGAAAAATTACCTGATAACTGTTTGTAAATAATTTTAGAGGTTCCATAATCAATGAGCATCGACAGTATTGTAAAAATTACATTTCTAGTTAGGTGTAATATCTAGATTAAATGTCTACACTTCTGCTCGCAAAAGCGTCAACAAGTGTTTAAAAATAGCGCAAAAGTTGTAATCCGGTATAAGTACTGTTCATAAGTTTTTGTTTAAAAACGGTTACTACTTGGAAACATGTTCAATCGTATTTGTTCACATGTTGCGTGTTTAACAAAACTATATGGAACTGTATCGTTTAAGCCTTAAACGTCATGAACATGGAAATATCGAGCATGCACGAGAAAACTATAATTCGTGGCTACTTAGAAGTAAGTAATAAGAATAAAAATTGAAAAAGAAACCATACATTGAAAATACCCGAAGTAGCTAAGAAAATTGAAAAACAATTGATGTTCGAATTTTAGTGGATCGACAGACATCTGCGTTCATAAATAAAATTTAAAAGGTGCCTTAAAATAAAAAAAATAAACTTTAAAATGTCGAAAGGAATCAACTTCAACATTGTTTGATGTGAAAATGAACAAAAATTTGTCGACGATTCATCAAACAATATTGTTCGTATTAGAATATTATTTTATTTTCCTGTGAGTAGTCAAGGCTACAAATAATGGATTTATGTCTTATTTGGAAATATAGTGTCGCAGTCATCAATCGAAAAATTGGAGAAGAAATCTTCGTAGATAACCTGGAAGAGAATTTGTAATCCATAAAGGAAAAATAGAAATGTCAATTTTTTATATTTCGTATGAACAACTTACTTTTTTGGGTAAATTCAGAGTTGTGATATGCGACGATGAATTAGTACCCGTATGCAAAATATATGTAGAAAGGTTACAGACATGAACCCTAATTTCAGAGTCACATTTTGAATTCTCAGAGATTTCGGAACTGGTGCATGTCGATCTTTGTAGCACAATTATAGTGAAACTTCAAGCTGAATCAAAGAATTTCATAACTATTATTATTGACAAGTTGGGATGCTGTGGTACTTGTTTAAAAAAAAAAGAAGAGGAGAATATTTACATGCCATCATCTTAATATTAAGATATGCCCTACGATAAAATGATTATGCAGCGTGAATGAATGACACATTGAAACGGCTAAATGCATACTACTTTAATTT